GTTCCAGTTCCTGGGAAGGCTGAGGCAGAAGGACCGCCGAAGCCCAGCAGGTCGAGGCTGTGGTGGCCGGGAGCGGCCACTGCACTCCAGTCTGGGCGACAGAGTGAGACTCCAACTCAAAAAAAAGAGAAAGAAATATGATGACATGGGCCGAGTGTGATGGTTCATGCCTATAATTCCAGCACTTTGGGAGGCCAAGCAAGAGGATCACTTGTGCTCAGGAGTTCAAGACCAGCCTGGGCAACAAAGTGAGAGCTTGTCTCTACAGAAAAATCTAAAAATGAACCAAGTGTGATAGCCATGACTGTGCCACTGTACTCCAGCCTGCGCGACAGACTGGGACCCAGACTCGAAATAAATAAATAAGATGAAATGACAAGCCACTTAAGGTCTCTAGGTATTGTTTTTCATCTATAAAGTAGACACAGTACCATTTCACAGTGGTTGGTGTGCAGATCAGAAGAGATTAGAGCTGTAGAGGTGCCTGGCCAGTGTCTGAAGCATAGGCAATACCTGAATCAAATGAGGACTAACCTGTAGCACTCATCCCTCACACAAGCAGAACTGGTACATGTAACACTATCTTCATGAGAAAAATTATTCAGTCATCCGGGGTGGTCTAAAAGACATTCTCTGTCTCTCCCCCTCCTCTCTTTTTCTCTCTCTCCAATCCTGTACAAAGTTTTCTTCCTGTATCCCATGATCTAGAATCCCAGTTCCAGCAGGGAGGAAGCTGGGTTGAGGGCGTACAATGAGGAGGAGCTGGCAGTCTTCAGAGGGGAATCCTGGGCGACAGTAGGATGGGACTAGGAGGGGCAGGAGCATACAGGAAAGAGAAGGAAATGTCTGTCGTTTCATGTGAGCGCTTGGGAGGTAAAACCATACATAATCAAAATAACTGAGAGCTTGACAGCTCTCAAATCCAGACAAAGAGCGGAGGATATATTTTCCCAGTGACAGAGAAAAGGGAAAGGGAGTTTTGTGGCTGCTCCTAGTTCATCTGTAAAATATATGTCCCTCATTAATTGAGTCCAACATGGATATTACTTCATTTGTTTGTTTACTTATTTATCTTTGAGTCAGGGTCTCACTATGTCACCCAGGCTGGAGTTGCAAAGGCACAATCATGGTTCATGGCAGCCTCAATCTCCTGGGCTCAGGTGATCCTTTTACTTCAACTTCCTGAGTAGCTGGGATTACAGGTGCATGCCACCACACCTGGCTAATTTTTTAAAAATTGTTTTACTATTTGTAGAGACAGGGTTTTGATATGCTGCTCAGGCTGGCCTCGAACTCATGGGCTCAAGCAATTCTCCTGCCTTGGCCTCCCAAAGTGCTGGAATTACAGGTGTGAGCCACTGTGCCCGGTCGACATGGACATTACAATTTAATCTAATAGAACATATAACTTCTGATAACCATGGGGTAATTTAAAATTTGTTGTAAAGGCCAAGCATAGGGGACTCATGCCTACAGTCTCAGCACTTTGGGAGGCTGAGGTGTGAGGATCGCTTGAAGTCAGTGGTTCAAACCAGCCTGGGCATCAAAGTGAGACCCCCCTTCTCTATTTATTAAATAATTATTTGAAAAATTAAAATAAAATGTGTTATGAAGATGAATAAAATCACAATACCACCCAATATTTAAAAAAATAAAACATTTACTTTTCTCATCATGCATCTCTGACAAAAATCATTCTTTTATCATTCTTGCTGATCTAACTTTTACTAACTATTAATCAGATCACCATCATATAGGCTCTTGTATTTTTCATGATTCATTCAAAATTTCAGTTACCAAAGTTAGCAAATTCCCAATCCTGAACCCCCCCAAAAAAATTGATGACAAAAATATTTTAAAAAATAACTCTAACATAAATCTTCAGGCTTGTGTCATGTGTTACTTATTCCTGGACACAGAAATACTGAAATCAGTGTGGTAAAAAGATTGAAAATATTGTAGATCTGTAGAAATCTGTTATGGGACATACTTTTTGAAAATCTACCGAGGCAACCCCTTCAGGTCCCCTTCCACTGTGGGAGCTTTTCTGTCCTCTCAATAAATCCTGTTTTCTAAAGAGAGAGAGAGAGAGAGAGAGAGAGAATCTACCATAAGAGTAGTTTAAGTATATTATTTTATTTCTTGTATGTCCACAGTTCGAAAATCCCTGAGTATAAATGCTGAATGAAATATATTTCACGTTTCAAAATGTTTCAAATGATCATTTTATTTTTTTTGAGTCAGAGTTTTACTCCATTGCCCAGGCTGGAGTGCAATGGCATGCTCACAGCCACCCCAGCGTCCACCTGCTAGGCTCAGGTGATCCTTCTGCCTCAGCCTTCCAAGTAGCCAGAACTACAGGCGCCTGCTACTACACCCAGCTAATTTTTTGATTTACTATAGAGACGAGGTCTCGCCAAGTTGCCCAGGCTGGTCTCGGACCCCTGAGCTCAGACCATCCTCTTGCCTTGGTCTCCCAAAGTGCTGGGATTACTGGCTTGAGTCACCGTGCCTGGCCATAATCATTTGATTTTAAAAACAATTATTGATTCTCTCTTTCTTTTCTCTTTTTGTAGAGATCAAGGTCACACTATGTTGCCCTGGCTGGTCTCAAACTCCTGGATTCAAGCAATCCTCCTTCCCACCTCAGCCTCCCATATTGTTGGGATGACAGGCATGAGCCCAGTCAGTTATTGATTCATATTAAAACACTGGAAAATGGAACATATGCAATTATTGTTTATTATCCCCCCCAGATAGTGGAATTTCCTAGTAGGAAGAAAACATATTAAAATAATGAAGAGTAGGAGTAGCGTTGGGGCTGGCACATGCGCCCCTGTGGGCGTTCGGGCCACCAGTTTTCCTGCCCTCCCATCCTGGCGCCCCCAGCCCTGGCTCGCTGACCGCGCTGCCCCGGGCGTCCTTTCACTGCTGGCTCAACGGATTCAGCGCGTTCAATCTGCGCCGCGCCTCCTCCATGTTGACCGAGCCACTGCAGGGGCCTCCTGCGCCCCCTCTGACCCCCATGCAGCCTCCAGGAGGCGAGAATCAGGAAGTGTCAGAGGCCGAGGACCGACTCGGCCCCCTCCTGGGTAAAGGAGGCTTTGGCACCGTCTTCGCGGGACACCGCGTTCCAGATCGACTCCAGGTGGCCATCAAAGTGATTCCCAGGAATCGTGGGCTGGGCTGGTCCCCCTTGTCAGACTCGGTCACGTGCCCACTCGAAGTGGCACTGCTATGGAAGGTGGGTGCAGGGGGTGGACAACCTGGCATGATCCGCCTGCCTGACTGGTTTGAGACACAAGCGGGCTTCATGCTGGTCCTCGAGCAGCCTTTGCCCGCCCAAGATCTCTTTGACTGCATCACAGAGAAGGGCCCACTGGGTGAAGGTCGATGCCGCTGCTTCTTTGGCCAGGTCGTGGCAGCCGTCCAGCACTGCCATGCCCGTGGAGTTGTCCATCGTGACATTAAGGATGAGAACATCCTGATAGACCGCTGCTGGGGCTGTGCCAAACTCACTGATTTTGGCTCGGATGCCCTGCTTCATGATGAACCCTACACTTTGATGGGAAAGGGTGTAGAGTCCCCCAGAGTGGATCTCTAGACACCAGTACCATACACTCCCAGCTGTCTGTCTGGTCACTGGGTATCCTCCTCTATGACATGGTGTGTGGGGACATTCACTTCGAGAGGAACCAGGAGATCCTGGAAGCCCAGCTCCACTTCCCTGCCCATGTCTCCCCAGACTGCTGTACCCTAATCCGCCGATGCCTGGTCCCCAAACCCTCTTCCTGACCCTCACTGGAAGACATCCTGCTGGACCTCTGGATAAAAACCCCAGCTGAGGCTGCAACCCTCAACTCCCCCAAAGGAGGCCCCCACCCCTTTGGTCCCTGCTGCCCTAGGCCTGCCCCCACTGGTTGGAATAGCCATCACAGGGATAGATGGCATTTGTTGATCTGGTTTTATAGGTCATTAAAAATCCAGTATTACTAAGGTAAAGGATCAGGGGTCAGAAGACAAAAGCCAAGTCTGCCCAGCCCCCATCCCAGTCCTGTGAAGGAGCCTTCCTCCAATAACCTGTGTTCCGTTATTCTGGAGGGGGGATTCCTTCTCATTTTGCTAAGGATTATTATTTGGGTGACGTTATTTCCATTCTCAGCTCCCAAACCCTTATTCTGATGAATAGTCACCCCTACATGGCACCTCCTACTACCACCACACAAACTTGATTCACATACTCTTACTTGGGCAAGGGTGCTTTCCTTCCAATACCCCAGTAGCTCTTATTTTAGCAACGGAACCCTTTCCCCTAGTCTAGGGTCCCATATCAGGTCAAGTTGCTTGCCTACCTCAGCCCAGGATTGCTTATTCTGGGGGAGATGATGCCCTGTTGTTATCCTAGGGCTCTTTATCTTGATAAGGGGACCCTACTCTGTTATCCCAATTGCTCTTATTCTGGTGAGAAGAACCTAAACTCCATAATTTGGAAAGGAATGAGATATGGACACCACTGGTCATTAGGATGGGATGGATGGATGGTGTTTTGGGGGATGTGCTAGGTAAATAAGTCTTACTATTTGTTCTCCTGGATCCCCCACCTCCAATTTATGCAGACTCTTGCTGTCTCCTCCTGAGCTGGGATTGTCCAATTGCTAAAATGTAAATACTTGGTGTATTGGGGGATGGAAGTTCCAAGTATGTTCTCCTCTCTCTCCCTTCTCCTCCTACATGGATTATTTAAAAAGCCATGTGTGGAAACCCACTATTTAATAAAATTAATAGAATAAAAAATAATAATCATCAAGAGTAGAATCTGTGCTTATGGTAAAATGGCTCCATGAACAAAATGATAAGCTACATCAATCTTGAGATAAAAAGGAATCAGGAGAATTGTGAATTAAGTGTTTAAAATAAACATTTTCTTCTCGATTATTTGTTATAGGAGGATTTGGAAGAATTTCAGAATAAAGAATGTTGATAGAGATATTTTCAGAGGTTCAAAGCTTAAGTTTGACTGCAGCATTACCATTGATCTGGGGATGGACCGTGACTTTCTTCCTGAATGTAATTCTCAACTTCAGTCTCTTTTTGAGGAACAGAGTGGTGACTAGGTTCATGGGCTCTCTTCCTCAACAAGTCAAGCCGAGCATAATAATAATCATAATGTCCACACATGGCAGCAAGTTTGGGCCTTTCTATCATTTTTATCTGAGGGAAAGAGGAAATTAAAAAAAATACGAATTCATAATCATTGACAATCTGATAGCAACCATGGCTAAGACGAGGCACGGAAGGTGTATTTCTGTTTTTGCTCTATGCTTGTTTTCAGAGTAAAATAATCCCAAATCCTAGAGTTGAAAAGACCTTAGAATTCTACATACTGTAGTAGAGTAGTTTATCATTTTTCTAAGGTGTGGATATGAATCATGAATACTTCACGGTTAGTGCGTGGTAAATACTAAGCCAGTGAGGACATCTAGCCAACCTGAGATCTGAAACTAAACTCAGAGTTATTGTTTTCTATTTTTTATAAATTGGTTTATACCTTACTGTACTTCATGGGAGAATAAATGCTATTGCGCAACTCACAAATTTTGGAATTTGCAACATTTAAAATTTCTGATAAATTGACTAAATTCAACATGGCCTCGACTTGAAAAAAAGATGCTGAGTCATTCAGAGTCATTTTTTCCAGAGAGAACACAAGAAAAGTCATGTAACAGCTGTGGCAGGCATGATTCCTAACCCAACTACTTCTTACCACCCCTCCCAACCAGAGCAGGATGAGAGGAGAAGATAAGAAAGGAAACGATATCAGACTTGAGATGAAGGAATCCGGCTATAATCCTAGCACTTTGGGAGGCTGAGGTGAGAGGATTGCCTGAGCCCATGGGTTTGAGACCAGCCTGGGCAACTTGGTGAGACCTCATCACCACAGTAAATAAAAAGCAAACAAACAAAAAAATTCGAGATGAAGAATCACCTGAGGCGAAGGAACCAGAAACAAAAGTTTATCTTTTAGCTGAGTAGAGGCCACAAAGCCAGATCAAATTACTTAAGAATCAGATCCAACAGATCCAATTAATATTTGAAAGCCAGTGAAGACCTTGTTGCTAAAGAGCAAAGTAGGGCCAATTTAACATTACTGTGGTAATGCTACCTACTTCATAGTTGATAAGTGAAAGGTACCTATAGAAACTTAGAAGAAACTTAGCTTATTCTTTAGTCTTTTTGCCTCAGTGTAACCATTAAAAAGCATTCAGACATCCTACTGCAGGACAAACAGCAACCTATCCCATCCCCCCTAGGGAAATCTCCTTCAGATACAAGATGAGGACAGCCCAAACAACCACCCCACCTTTGGTCAAGGAACTTGTGAATTGCAAATGTCTAACAAGTCTCTTGCAGGATCCCCTCCCCCAGGGTTAGCCTAATCAGCCCTTGTGACCTAGGTGACATGAATAAGCCCCACCATGGCAACAATCATGTGACTAACCTACCCATCTGCCTGCTGTCCATCATCTGATGTCTGTACCTGCGTTTGTCTGCCCCTTTGTGATGACGTAGAAGCAGACCACCACCCAATCACCTTAATTATCTTCCCCCATCAAGGAGAATGGTTAAAAGGACTCAACCACAAGCAACCAGCGGCCATTGCCTTGCTAGACTCTGGTGTGGCCATGTGCTCTTTGAGTCACAGCTGTCGCCATGCTTCCTGGCTTTGGTCCCCTTCCCCCACTTTGGGGAGGTGAATCTTCTCTCTTCTTTCTCTTTCTCTCTCTAATTTACTTTTAAATAAACTTTTCTTTCTTAACCTTTTGTGTGTTGCAATTCTTTGCATCTACTCAGATCTCTGGGTTCTCAGCGCGGCACCTCCGGCTTGCCAGCCCTGGCAGTGCTGTGCGCGCCTCCCTGTGCCTCTCCACCCTCACCCTGTCCATCCATACCCTAACAATAAGAAAAAAGAGATCAAAGCACTGGAAAGGCCTAGAAACTAGTAGCTGGGAATATAAATCACCAAAAAAGAATTAAAACAGAAATGTCCTCAATGTAAAGAGGTAACACTATATTCTTTGTCTTTTTAATACTATGTGGTTCATATATACGCTAGATTGAACCACATGGAATTGTAGATATTTGACTATCATTAATCTACAAAGATGGCAGTTTCACGTAGCTCTATTTACATATTAAAATAAATATATAACATTTGATTTATTAGTCTAAACATAAATTATATGTTTGTTTAAAAAAATCTTTTAAAGTGAGAATTCGTTTTCTTTGTTTCACAATCTCACCTACATACAACCCAGAAGAAGGTAATACAAATTACTTGGAAATGGTTAGAAATAGAGAAAAGTATTGAAAGGAAATAAACAGCTTCTTTAACATTTTACATGAAATCCCAAATAATATTGGGAGCATAAGAAGTAGCTCCTGTGGAGATATATTTATTTCATTGCATCAAAAGAAGCTTTTTAAAGGATTAGGAAAGATGTCAACTTGTTCACCAGTTCTCCCAATTTAATCTATTCTTAAATCTTTTAGATTGTTTTTTTCTTCTATAGGTCTTATACAGAGAATTCTGAATCACAACATACTTTTCTTATTTCTTTAATTAAAATGATAAACCACATTTTGTCAAATAAAGGGCAATAGTTTAGCCAATAGTTTAAAAAAATCTGCTTTCACACCAACAGATGTACTAAAATGTCTATATGTCAAGTAAACCCACTTAGTAAATGTACTTCTAAATAGTCCTGTAATTATACCATAAGATTTCTTTTTTTTTTTTTTTTTGAGTCAGAGTCTCACTTTGTCGCCCAGGCTGCTCATGGCCACTACAGCCTTGACCTGCTGGGCTCAGGCGATCCTTCCACCTCAGCCTTCCAAGTAGGTAGAACTACAGGCCCAGCTAATTTTTTGATTATTGTAGAGATAAGATCTTGCCATGTTGCCCAGGCTGGTCTTGAACCTGTGGGCTCAGGCAATCCTCTTGCCTCCACTCTGCCTCCCAAAGTGCAGGGATTACAAGCGTGAACCACTGCGCCTGGCAGGAACCTTCTTTAAAAATGCAATTCTTCAATTAAAAGACAATAGTTATTTTATCATTTATATACCAGAAGCATTCTACTAGCATGACCTAAAAGATTCAACACTCTGCTGAGGTCAATTCAAATAACAAAGCATAATGAATCCCCAGGGATAGATCAGTTACTATATATTAAAAGCTTCTCAATTATACGTACAATGTGTCAGAATTAAGGGTATTAAATGTAGAGTGTTTTTGGTTGATACAGTACTCACTTGCCCTAGAATCTTAATTATTCAGAGAAAAATCTTATTTATTCAAAGAAATTAGAAGAATTTCAATAAAAACAAATGAAAACTAATGTATACCTGAAAGAAAATACTGTTTTCTAAACTATAAAAACTAGAAGTTGTCCAATGAGGTTCTACTTTAACGCCCATTTAATTGTAACTACAAACGAGTGGATTCCAAATTAATGAGGCTGTTCCTCAAGAACATATATGGAGGCAGGTCTGTCAGAATACACCATAGCCAGAGAACCAGAAAGAGGGTTTAGTTTTACTTACAGATACGGGCTTCTGGACTCCAGCTGGCAGTCTCCATTCGTTCCTATGTAAAGGATCCTTCCTTTTAACTGGTGTGGATGCCCTTGATCCTGGTGACCACTTTTCCTGGAATCTCACTTTCTGTATTTTAAAGTCTTATTTAACCAAAATAAAAATCTTCAGTTTTTAAAAAATGTACTTAATATCGATACTCATAAGAGTATATACATAAGCTACATTTCCTAACATAGTATTTTATACAAAGTGAGAGATGGACTGATGAAAAATTACTGTGCATCTTCTTTGAAGGGAGAAAATCATTTTTTCCAGAGTTCCTTTACGTATTTTTTAGTAGTACATAACACCACTTTTTTAAAAATTAGGAATTGCCGGGCTCGGTGGCTCAGCCTGTAATCCCGCGCCTTTGGGAGGCTGAGGTGA